TTTTTTTTTTTTTTGTACATTTTGAAAAAAGCCCGTCAACTGTGGAAACAATTTAATTTAATAAACACACTACTTGTGTACTAAGCACAATAGATATGCCCGATAAACACAATAGCTGACTGGTAAGAGTTTGCATCATCCAGTGGCCCATGAGACCATCTTTTCCACCCCCCCTCCCCCACCCCCCCGTACCCTATCCAAAAGAGTACCAAGAGCACAACGCAGTGACCCCGACCAGGGCTCGAACCCAGACCGTTTGATCCGGAGCCCGGCACGCTCACCGCGGTTCTTTTAGAGTTGCAATATGATGCTTGCATTGTCACCTATGTTGCCTGTGCTACGAGTAAAGACTAGTCAATAGGCCATACTAAAGTTTCTTAGGCATACAAAATGTTTGTTCTTTTTGCTTGTTTCTTTTTTTATCTTGCCGTTGATGCTGTTGTTGTTGTTGTTGTTGTTGTTGTTGTTGTTGTTGTTACCGTTAAACACATCTCTCCCCCCATGAAATTAACATGAAAACCAACAACCCAAGCATTGTAAATTAAACTTGTTACAACCGATTCATGTGAGCATCCATGTCAGACTCTGAGATCAATTTGTTTACTTAAAGAAAATTAATTAGTAACTCCAGCAAAGAATAATCTACTTTATTGAATAAAGCCCTTTGATGCCGCTTAATGTTAAATTTTGCGAAATGTAGAGCTTTTCCTTTTACATTATTGCAATATTTTAAAATGTAATAAATTCTATTAATCCCTTTACGTTTGTTAGATCTTGACTTATTGTTTACATGGAATATATTACATTTAAATTATTTCAAATTTAAGATTATTCTTATCATTGTTGTCGAGATATATCTAACAAATTTGCTACAGTGTTTGGCATAAGTAAGTCACCAACCTTTGAAAGGCACCATTCCTCTTTTTGCTCACGGAATGTTAAAACTTTGTTGGCAAATTAAGACTGAAACTCATTTTAATTTAATCCGTAAACATTGTAAAACGTGGCGGAAACCCTGCCTCTAAATTGTACTCTTTTTTGAAGCAAGATAAAAATGCGGTTTCCATGCTTTTGAAGGAAATAATAAAGATATTCTGTTTTCGTAACTAAAGTTCCGTAGTGGTTATATACTGTCGCTCTTGACCAAAAAATAATCGTAATCATCAGGTGAGCCGAGTTAAATATACACGTTGTTTCCTACCACATGGGTGGAAAACTGTTTCTATCTTTGCCAAACCAGTGAATATTAACCATTAACCAAGGCAGAAAAGCTATTATAGCTATCAAATACCACTATTAAATTAGTCACTGCTAGCCAGAACACGAGAATAAGCAGGATTATGTGACACACAACGGCCTCTGCTGGTCACCCAACCAGAATAGACTTATAGCTGGCTTGAATTCAGTTAATAATTCAATGTATATCTCATTTTTTTTTTTTTTTTAACAAGAATAGTGTTGAGGCCTTTTTCCGAAATATCGCGTAGGTTTGGTTTCTGGTTTTTGTTTTATCTATAACATTGAATAGGAAAGTTGTTTTCTCCAAATAATGTTAAACTGCACCAATTCCTAATCGATTTAGCTGAATATCATGTACAGGTAAACTGTCTATGCCAAAGGAACTACCGGGCGTGTTGAGCAGTCCATTGAAACTCATGCTGTCATTTCCGTTTGGTTGCACTGCATTTCGCATGGGATCATAAACATAATTAGGTGTGTTATATCTTGAGTAAATGTTTGTTATGCTAGGCACATAGCCAAAGTCATCCTTAGTAGGGGATATGTAGGGGATTTCCTGTTGTCGAGGAGTTGAAGCCATTGTTTGGGCGCTGGAATAAACGTTAAGTGCAGGCACACCGTTGTCGTAACTGACCGGATAATTCCCATTCCCTAGGAAGTTCATCGCACCGTTGTTAACTGAGTTGTGTTCATGGATGTTTACAGGATTCAACACGGTAAGATTTGAAGCTTCATTCTGAGCCCACGAGGCTCCCATGTAGTCATCGGGGTTTAAATTGATCCTTGAGCTTAGAAACGTCTTGTCGATAGCATTGATGAAATCACCTTGAAATGCGTTGATTTCTGGGGCATTAGCAGCGTCTCGGGGTGGCTCTAGGTCGGCCATCGGTAGCGTCTGAATACCGGAGCGACATTGCTGTAGGGGTGCAAATGACATTGGTATAGGAGCATTTAAAGGTGTTGGATGTCCCAGTTGACGAGGTTGGTTGTTAATCGGTGCTGGCTGGTAGATCTCTTCGCTTGGAAAGGTCACACTTGGCGTACATGTGGCGTTGTGCTCCTTCTCTTCCTGCTGATAAACATTGGCATGGACTTTCTTGAATTGCTGTTGGGAAATTTTATCTTTCCCCATAGTTTGTTTTGTGGCAGGAATGAAGCCGACCAGTGCATTCTTCTGCTTTTTCACTCGAGACGTGTCTTTTGATTTATCCTGCCAGTGTTCTGGTTGCATGTTCTCCTTGGGTTTATCAAGCTCTGATTCTACTGATGGCATCAAAGGTGGATTTTCTAAAAAAATTAACATTCAAAAATAGAAAAGGTTGAGTTTAGTAAATGCATAATAATGTCAAAAATAAAATGTGTGATCCCAAGGAGATAGCTAGTGTTATACCATACAAGGTGCCATAAGATTTCTGAATTGAACAAGAAAAATATACGAGAATTAATACATTGTTTTACTTAACCTAATAATAACTTAATTCACCTTGCGATAAGGCTTAGCGCCATTTTTATTTGCGAATCAGTGTTAAAACATAACCAACACTTATTAAGATAAAAATCGCAAGCTGACCTTTCTTGATGTGGGTTTCAAGAGAGGTATTTAACTTTTTGTCCATTTCGACGATCATCTGGTTTTCGACCACAAGGAACACATACTCCTCAAAAGCAGTGTGGATCAAGTGAAAAACTCCTGTTAAGGCAAACATAAAGCAAAAAGAAGCTTAGTATTAGGTACTCTGACACTTTTCCCGCCCCGTGTTCGTAGCATGCAATGGCGGCAAGTGGTTGAAAATTGCATTTCTTCAATGCGTGGAGACTGGCAACCTCCTAGCTTAGACGTCTACAAATGTCTCTCTGGGAAGCCCGCTAGCCCACGATCGATTGCAAATTATCTCGACAGTGATTTTCTCAGTCTGGTCCAAAATGTATACGGAATTTAAACCAGATTTTAAGAAGCACTAGTCAAATAAAACGTCTTTCCTAACACTACATCAGAAACCATGCTGTGGTGTCCAACGCTGGACCGGTGCGCAATCAGTTATCAAATGAAATCTCACCAAAACTTGGAGCGCTTCTTAACGTTAAATCTGCAAGGACTCGTGCTGTAATGAAAGACCACATGGCTAAGAATTTCCTCGCTCTGTCTTCAAAAGGCGTGTCTTTGTTCATTTCCGATCCCTGCAAAAGATTATTTAGTTATTCATTGCCTCATTTAGCAATGGCTACACAATTTCGTGAGAAAGTAGTTTGTCCACGATTGTTTCAGATGGCTAGCAAGTCGA